TATTCAAATTTTTATTATATTTTACTAATTAATTGTTGATTTATAAATAAAATTTCAAATCAAAATTAGTCTAAAGACTTTTGCACCATACTATATATATATATATTATTTAATTAATACAAGAAAAATTTGATATAAATATATTTCAAATACAATTTATTTTACAAATGATTCAATAAAAACTAGTTTTAATTAATTATTAAAAAAAGGTTTTTTTGTTACATACTAATTATGTAATGTATTTTAAAAAAAAATATAATATATAAAAATTTTTATATATATTTTATAAATATACAATAGATTTTATATTATCAATCAATTATTTAAACATTTTATAATATATGTTCTATAATTGATCAGTATATTGTATTGAAATTTATAATATTATTGTTATAAAAGTAATATAAAAAACACTACTTATTTGTCTATATATTATTATTATTATTTTAATAATTAATCTTAACATTTGACTTTTTTAAAAATTGATTTGTTATTTAAAATTTTTATAATTAACATAAAAAATAATTTCAGCATATGATTTTACAAATTTTTATAATTTTTAAATTGCTATTTAACTCAATAATTTATTAGATTTATCATATAAATTTATTAATGTTGTTGTTACTAGTTAATTTATTACTAATATGTGCGTGTGTACTGTATTTATTTATTTATTTAATAAATAATAATGTGGTACAAGAGAATACCATTCTAACAAATTTTGTTGAATTTGACAAACAATTATTCAGATAATTGAACCATTTTAACCCGTTTGTTGTTATAACACTACAACGGCGAATATGTTTCTCTAAGAGAGTTTTGTCAAGATGGTTCTGGCAACCTTTATCATCGCATTAAAGAAAAAAAAAAATTGAAAAAATTGAAATCGCCCAACAATAATAAAGTATAATACAAAATGTAAAAATATTTGCAGCATGATTATTGAATAATTAGAATGATTAGAGATTCTGCCATCTGTAATAAACAAGATTGGTTTGATATAAATCTTTGTCGATTATACATGTAATCAATGACACCAATGAATGAATCATGCCACGAATTTACCATAAAAAGTTATTTGAATATTCTTCCTACACCTTGGCACTTTGTACACAATATACTCTCAAACAAGAATTTTTCTTTTCCAGTCCCTAAAAATAGGAAAGCGAATTTCGTAAACCTGGATCACAATCAAATAGTGTAATAAAAAATATATATATACAAGCTACCTTTACAAGTTGTGCATAGATGCCCTCCAATACTTGGATCCCCAGGTCTGGTATAAATTACATTTCCGCCATTAATAGTGTTAATAGTCATAAACTCTATTCCTGAATAGGCTCTATCGGACGGTATACCATACGAGCTTACGCATGGTTGACATACTACGCCTGGACTCTCATATCCAGTATTGTTACATTTCGTACAAAAGAAACCAGGAGGATAATGAATAGCTGTAACTTGGGATTGCATAATTGGAGGAACATACATTCCACCTGTTCCAATAATCGTCGAATTCACTGTATATGTTGGAAACGGAGAAGTCGACTGTGCTAGTGGTTGGTATGGAGTATCTCCAAATGCACGAGTCGGTCCAAACGCCATTGATCGTTCTCCAGAGTTTGGATAGGGTGAATATGCAGGTGGAGATTCTTCTGATATAACATCTTGTAAAGCAGTTGGGGAAAAACTCTGTGAAGATGTTTGAGACGCCTGAGAAGTTTGAGAGGTATGAGACATTGTTTATTACTTTAGTCTTTATGCTCTATTTTGCTTTTATATATCGTTTTGAGAATGTGACACAATTGCAATGTAAAAATGGATTCTCGTATATTCCGGGGGAAAAAAAACCTTCCTTATTTGGGTTGGTGACGTATGTGTTATGCAAGTCTGGGCACCAAAAATATAACATGGAATAGGACCCGTTTCCCGTGTTCGCTACAACAAGTAGAAAAGTATTATCCTTATGCATACTATTTCTAAATATAGTCTCAAGTTTCAAAACACCGTATATTTAATAATTAATTTAATTAAATTTTTGAATTTTGGTAATAAATTAATATAAATAACTATTAATTAAAACTCTCTGTTGATCTCATGTTCTTGGTATATTTACCAACTAATTAACCTTGTTGTCAATTTAAAGAGCAAAGATTTTTTTTTATTTTTTAAAAAAAGGTAAAAATTAAATTGCATATGCACAAATAAGAATCATGCACGAATGTATCGTATATTGTCAATTCACTTTTTTCTGATTAAATAAAATTTATGGTATAGTTTTTTTGGATAATATATATCCTTGAACACCCTTGGTCTTCCTTGGTTTCTAGTAAAAAATTCGTATCTATTCCTTAGCAATAACTTGGTATTACTCCGGTAAAAAAACTAAAAATAGATTTAATGTAGATCTTCAAACAAAAAATTATATATAAACCCTTTCAACAGTTCTTTAAATAAAGGTTAAACCATGGATGATCCTAATGCGGATACCGAATGGTAATGACGTACTGTGTATAATTATTTCAATAACGAGTTAACATTAAAGTAATTGACAGGAATGACATCCTACGTGCCCGAGGGATTCTACCTCCAAAAGAGGGACCAACTGAGGAAGAAATTTTCGAAGAACTAGATCAAATGATCAAAGAAAAGCAAGACAAGCATCTCGAGGATAAAACATTAGATGAATTAGATGAATTAGAAGACGAGGAGGACGAGAGAATTTTGTTGGAGTATAGGTGTGCGGATAAATTCCTTTTGAAAACATTGACGAGGATCGCTGAATTAAATTTTTTTTTGCTGTTGCCTAGACAGAAAAGAATTGCTGAAATGAAGGCAGAAGCATCACGCGAAAAATTCGGTCATGTGATGCAGATATCAAAACCTGATTTCATAAAAGAGGTCACCGAAGCAAGTAAAGAAGTTTGGGTGGTGGTACACTTGTTTAAAGATTAGTAGGTGTTCCCTTCTTTCTTCAATATCGTAAAGTTTATACACTGACAAACAGTGAATGGACGATCCAGTATTCCAGAATGTAAACTCATGAACATGCACCTAGAAACTCTAGCTGAAAAACACAAAGCAACCAAGATTTTAAAAATCATCGGTGATCAATGTATACCAAATTATCCCGATAAAAACATGCCGACCTTACTTATTTACGGCGAAGGAGACATGAGGCACCAATTAGTTGGCTTGTCTCAATTTGGTGGAATGAACACGAAGCTTGAAAGTGACTATCTATTTTCACTTTTATTATCTATTTTTTTTTTTGTGAAAAAAATTTATGAATTGAACTTTGGAATTTTTTTTTTCATTATGTAGATCTTGAAAATTATCTAATTTCCGCTGGAGCTATTGCAGACAATAACAGGACAATTGACAAAGGATCGCCTCCAAGAAAAATCATACAAAATCCTGCAACTGCTGCATTAAGCGATGATGACGAATATTCAGATGATGATTGACAGACTCAAATTTTCAAATATCAACTATCCACTTATTTATGAATTTGCTAAAAAAATAGACAAATTTCTAGAACACGGTAACTTCAATCTTTAGTCCACAAGAACTACACGTTTGTGTGGCAACTCCAGTTTTGGGATCTTCCACTGCTACTCCAAATTCATGTTTATGTTCTTTGCGTCTTCGTTCCAATACCTCGGTTCTTGTACGTTTCCGAAGTTCTTGAAAATCCACACGTTAACATATTCATATAAAAAATTCAGAAACTTTTTTCGTGAACAAAGGTTACCTGCAAGCTTTGCTTTGAATTTTTTCTCCTTTTTCTTTTTTCTTTCTTCCTCACGTTTCTCAAATTCTTTGTCGAGCCCTTCCTCTCCTCCCCACTTCTTGAACGCG